GCTCATAAACTCAAAATTATTTGTTGGAATCAGCTCAAACTTATAAGGACATTAATGTGCATCATAAAATGTAATAAAAATTTGAGGTGATTTCAGAGCCAGTTTTTGGAAAAAACCATGGACTATAGCCTTGGGTATTTTTCAGAATTTTGACATTTTCTTAAAATGGCCGTAACTTGAAAAATTAAAGTTGGAATCAGCTCAAGCTTGCTACACAGCATAAGGACATCAATATGCATCAGAAAATTTAATAAAAATTTGGGGTGATTTCGGAGCCATTTTTTGAAAAAACATTGGGCATTTTTTAGAATTTCGGTGTTTTCTTAAAATGGCCTTAACTTAAAAAATTAAAGTCTAAATTAGGTCAAACTTGCCCTACAGCATACATGTAAGTACATCAATATGTATCAGAAAATGCAATAAAAATTTGGGATGTAAACATTATGTGCTTTTTGAGATTGACCATGTCTAATTATTTGCTAGGTGTGGCTATTATGAGTGTGGCTGATATACTGTTATTATTACATTGTTTGATCCATAAATTATGGGTAGTTTCATTTTTTTGGATTAACCACTACCCTCTCTCTTTCTCTCTCCCTCCCTCTCTTTCTCTCTCTCTCCTTTACATCTTTCATGGTCTGAAGATCCATTGGAAACTTTATCAAATTATAATAGTCAGGCACATCTTTTGAGGAAACTGGCTTACAAAAAGGCCAATACTAAAAAAGGGGAACAAACACTACTCCTCCCTCCATTCTATTCTTTCTCTCTCACCTCTTGAACAGCACTCAGTTTATTAACAATCTTCTCTAAAGCAGCAGCAAACGGCACCTAAGGAAAGCAACAAAGGTTAAGTATAGCAATATTGTACTAGTACCTCTGGGTTGGTCCGTCTTCTCCTTCCAGCTTTAGCTTTTTTCTATAAATAAACAACACAAGTATGTTCAGGTGCTTTATGCACTAAAAAACTTAGCATACTTCTACGTAGCATAAAAACATTGATATCTATCAAAACTGCAATGAATTATCTTTAGTATTATTTGTAAATTTCAAATGGCAGCATATTAAAAAAACTTCCAGCACAAATTATAAAATTATTTAAAAATAGGATGGGCTATTGCCATGGTTAATACTATGGGACAATATCATGAGCTATAGCCAAAAAACATCAATAGGTATTTCTATTACATTTTCTGATATACATGTATGTACATTGATGGACTTATGCAGTTGCAATTTTTTAATGCTCGTAACTTGACAATTAATTATTGGATCAGCTCAAACTCAGCACATAATATAGGACATCAACTATGTATAAGATATTGTAATAAAAATTTAGGGTGATTTTGGAGCCATTTTTTGGGAAAAACCGAGTCATAATTATTTTTTAGAATTTTGGCGTTTTCTTAAAATGGCTGTAACTTAAAAAATTGAAGTTAGAATTAGCTAAACTTTCTATACAGCATAGGAACATCAATATGTATCAGAAAATGTAATAAAAATTTGGGGTGATTTTGGAGCCATTTTTTGGAAAAACGACGGGCTTAATTTTTCAGAATTTTGGCGCTTTCTTAAAATGGCTGTAACTTGAAAAATTGAAGTCAGAATTAGCTCAAAATTTTTATACAGCATAAGGATATCAATATGTATCAACAAAATAATAAGAATTTAGGGTGATTTTGGAGCATTTTTTCGCTCCAAAATCCCCATGTAAATCACCATGGTTTTTCTTCTTTGCTGCCATTTGTATCACCTTGTGAAACAGCATCAGTGGCTCGGTCAGTGGATGTTTCTTCACTCTTTGTATCATCATCACTCTGAGCCAGCATACTGCTAGTATTCATACTGCTGGCATCTTTTACTGGTTCAATAGTATTTTTACTAGAAATAAAAAATTTTTGAAAAAAATAGAATGAACTTGCACTGTACAAAGAACAAGATACAGAATACATAACTAGTCATAAATAATCAAATTTCCTTGATTAAACACTGACGGACCATATCCACAGCATGCTATCTTAAACAGTAGTCAAGTAAAGAGTGCTTTTAGACACAATGTCTCAAAAAATTAATGAGTGGGTGTGGTTCAACTATCGACAATTATTTTAATTTATAAAATTTAACAGAAAGTGATGAGCAATGCTCCGAATATAACA